AGGAGTCCATATGCACAGATAGCTTAGCAGGGACCTTGAGGGAGAGGAGGCATTCAAAGGTGTGCTCCAAAATGATCATCATCAAACTTTGCACCCTTGTAAGATCTGATCTTCTAATCATTACGTTGTCTCACTCTGGATCCCAGGGCCCACTCCTCCCCACGGCTCTGCAGCACCCCATGGGGGATTAGCATTAGCTCATGCTCTTCTTGGCCCTTCCCAGGGCTCCCCTAGTGGTGCCTCTGCACCAGGGGCCATGCCTCCCTCTGCACAGTGGAACCTTACTTACTTCAGACCCTGCAGGGAGAATGGGATTCTCCTGACCTGTCACTGGACTCTGGATCTCCAATAAGGGCCTGTCAGAACAGGGGATTTATCATATGTGTGGGTGGCTGTGTGTTAACTTGGCCCAGCTGTGATACCCTGCTATTTGGCCAAACATTTCAAGTGTTTCTCTGAGGACATTTGGTAGAAGATTAACACTGAAGTCATCAGACTTTGAATAAAGCAGATGAACTCCCACAATATAGGTGGGCCTTATCGCAGTCACAGGCCCTGGTAGAAGGAAGACTGACCTCCCCCAAAGCAGGAGGAATTTTGCCAGTAGAACGCCTTTGGATTTGAAAGCAGCTCTTTCCTGGGTCTCCTGCCTACCAGCCTACCCCAAAGATTCTGGACTTGCCAGCCTCTACAACTGCATGAGCTAAATCTTAAAAATAAATATCTTTCTCCCTATGGGGGTGGAAAGAGATGGCATCACACTCCCTGAATTAAAACTGTAGCTTTAACTGGAGATTGATTCTCTCTCTCTCTCTCTCTCTCTCTCTCTCTCTCTCTCTCTCTCTCTCTCACACACACACACACACACACACACACACACACACGCACACAGTGGTGGGGAGCATGACATCCTCTGGGGTCTGCTGCTGTGGACCAACTGCCCAAGCTGTACATAGCAGTTCCAGGGGGATTTCAGTAAAAGCAGCAAAGAGCAGGAGGAGGCTCCTGGAAGATTCCATCCAGCTCTCTTTCTACACCTTGGAAAACTGAGAGTCAGAGAGGGCAAGGGGCTGGAGCTCACACAGCAAGCTAACGCAGAAGCCAAGAACAAAACGGCATTTAAGATGCTTGATTCAAGGTCCTGCCCACAAGACCACACTGGGGCTGGGGCTGTTGCAGTAAGAGTTTATTTAATTATATGGATAAATAATAAGGAAACAATATCAGCAGAGCATTTCTTGGGAATTTTTGTGCCAGGGTCTATGTTCTCAAGGCCCTTATAAGGTGACTCCACTTAATCTTCTCTCAACCCTTCAAGGCCTGCATGAGTATCCGCATTGGCAGATACGCTGTGAGGCAGAGAGGGTCAGTGCTTCCTCTGGTGCAAAGCTGACAGCTGGAGGTGGGAGGAACAGGAGCCCTGCTCCAGCAACTCTGAACACAAAGGGTTTAACACAGAGGGTGCAGCAGCAAAGAGCAGCCATCAGGAGAAGGTCTGTGCTAACCAGAGGGGCACAGCATCATCACCTCTCATGATGCCTTGCCAATCAGCACGTTTTGCTGCAAAACTAGTTTTGCAAACACCTCTGCTGGGACTGGCTTCTTCTGAAGGAAGCCCCTGTCTAATCCTCCAGCGGAGGCTGCAATCTGTGCAGATTCCAGCGCTATTTGCTAATGCTCTGGGCTTCTCGGAGATTTGGTGCATGGCTCCCAGGGGAGTGCGGGGTGGATTTCATTCTCTGCTTGGCAGCCTTTGCCAGGTGGGAAGGCTCAGGGTGGGCGCACAGCACTGAATTATAGTTGGAGGGGACCCAGATGGAAAGTGCTCAGGAAAAGAACCAAGTCCTGAAAATAACCCATTGAGCTAAGTTCCATGGGCAAATTCAATGCCAAGCACCCACAAATAAGCCATTCTACCTGACTCTTACAAAAGACAGTCCTGTCAGCTTTGACACACATCCCCAGAAAGAGCCAAGAATAGGAAACAACAACACTACTATACCATATCTGTACTGTATTTGGAGCCTGGTAAGTCTATTTCTGTAATGTATTTTGTTGTTGTTTTCTTTTCTTTTCTTTATATTTTGGGGAGGTACCAGGGATTGAACTCAGGGGCACTCAACCACTGAGCCACTTCCCCAGCGTATTTTGTATTTAATTTAGAGACAGGGTCTCACTGAGTTGCTTAGCATCTCGCTTTTGCCGAGGCTGGCTTTGAACTCACTATCCTCCTGCCTTAGCCTCCCGAGCTGCTGAGATTACAGGCGTGGGCTACCACACACAGCTATTTCTGTAATGTTTTTACACATGTTAACTCTGAAATCTTCTCTGAAGAAAAGACATTATTCCATTTCACAGTTGAGAAAACTGAGTTTCCGCAGGAATGAATTAGCTCCCAAAGTCCCACAGCACTGATCATAGCTGGCATCTGCCCCAGAATCTTCTCTGAACCATATTAAGACAGTGTCCAAGTTGAAGACTGGACGAGGCCATGCTCAGACATGTCATCTGTAAGAGTTCAGTGGGCTGAAACCACCCACAATGTGCATCACATGCCAGCCCTAGGGTGCCCTCCATCACCCAGGGCAGCTGCACAAGGCCCTCAGATGTCCATGGAGATGTTCATCACCCTTCAGCTCCTTCCCATTAGGATCACGTCTGCTACCATACACAGCCAGGATGGGTCTGAGTGGCCCACAGACTAGACTGTCCAGTTCTCCACATGACTGTGACCATACACTTGTGCCATTCACTCGTCCCCCCTTGCTCAAGCACAGATCGCATCCTCCGCTGGGGGAATTAGACAGGTGCTTCCTTTAGAAGAAGCCAGTCCCAGGCCTGGTGCTTGGCCCTGGGGATGGTCAGCTAATGAGATGGTCTCTATTCCCACCACTCTGAGCCCCAGGGAAGGAGACTGAGACTTCTACAGCCCTGGGGAGAAGGTGTTCATCCTAGGAAGTCCGAGTGCCTCATGCAGTGCTGACCTCTGAGCAGGCCCTGAGCACGTGCAGGGAGCAGAGGGCCTTCAGGGAAAAGGGCTGATCGTATCGTTTTCATCTGCTTTTGTGGAACCGACTAAGGACCTCAACTTGGGAAGCAAGTGTTTAAAATGTTTCCAATTGAGCTGTGACTATTGGGTCACTGATATCCCAGGCCATGTTCCCTAGAAAGCAGTCTGAGCTGAAGACTTTAGGTGGGAGGCCTGCTAGAGAGCTCTAGGGTACAGCACGTGTTACTGGTGGGGTAGGACTGGTTGCAGGGAAAACTTAAACTGTGATATATTCACAACACTTCAGCCAAGGCCTGAGGATCTTTGCAGAGCAACTGGTCCCACAGAGTCGGCCATCAGTGCCCCAGCGGCAGGGAAACTGGGGGACAACTAGGGCTACACCTCGGCCTGGACATTCTGCTGTAGACCTTCAGGGTGTAGACAGGAAGATCAGGCTTCTCCTTGTGGCCTATCCCAGGTGGGGAGCCCTCTCATGTGTGTGATGTAGTAAAGAGAGCCCCCTCCATGCTGGTAGGCTCACTGCTTTCTAGTCAGTTCCTCAGTCACTCGGTGACCCTGTGTTGATGCTGGGGACACCAGGTTCTGGAATATCAGTGGTCACCCGAGGTCCTGCATCTATACATTATGGGATTCACCTGCAAACTGATCCTATGTGGCTCTAACATCTGCTCCACAGCACACCAAGTCCTGTGCTGCTTCTACTTCCCTGTCCCTCAGGAAGACCTTGGTAGCCCTTCTCTCTGCTTCTCAGGATCTTGAGAACACTGGACACAGCAGCCAGAGCCACGTGGATCTGCAATGGGCAAATGCTGTAGGCTGATCTCCCAGCCAGGTCTCAGAGCTGGGAGAGGTGATGTTGGAGGTGAGTGAGCCAACATGGTGCTGTTACTCAGGACAGTCTGAGCATAGAGTCCATCTGCACAGGAGGATAGAGCACTCCTGGGAAGTGGCCGAGCTTAGAAGGCCTTTCACGCTCATGCCACGGGCCATGAGATCATTAATTCCATATGTCAACTTGTCTAGGTCATGGGTGCCCAGAAATTTGGTGAAACATTGTTCTGGATGACTGTGAGGATGCTTCTGAATGCGATTAACATGCGAACTGGTAGACTGAGTAAAACAGATTGCCCTCACCACTGTATACTGTGCTTATCTAATTCACTGAAGGTCTGAATAGAACAAATGAGAGAGAGTCAGTGAGAGAGCATGTTCTCTCTCTCACTCTCCTTGATCTGTGATTTTTTAGTTCTTATGCAAAACAAGGAATGGTCCTATGGGTCCTGTTTTTCCTGACAATCCTGAATAATAAAAGCTGGTTATTTCTGAGCAGATCACTAATAGAAACACATCACATACCAGCTCAGGAGAAATATGGATAGTCGTACATTTGCAGCCAAACCCTGCACATCACAGGAAAGTAGTAGCAGATGTTTCTGGGAGAGAAGGAGCAAGGGAAAGGACGGGAGATGCATAATGATTGAGTGACCACTGAGCACCAGGAATGGTGCTGAGGACTTCACGCTCATGGCAGTGTTGGCACACCTGATCCTCCATGACAGACTACCTCTTCCTGGTTCCACTCCACAGCTGGGGAAAGTTACACTCAAAGAATGAAGAAATGAAGGATGGAGCCAGCCTTTGAGGCCAGGCATGACTCAACGCCAAGAGCCTTTCAGCGTCCACACACCATCTGAGAGAAGCCCCTCACCACACAGCAGCCTGGCCTCCAGAGACCTCTCTCTCCAAGGGGCAATGCATAATGGTACCTTCTGAGGGCCATATCACCTGAGCCCACCACAGGGCTTGGCATGAGGATGTGTCTAATAAATGTTGCAGTAATAAAGAGGAGGATGGATGGACAGCCAGGGGAAGGGATCAGCAGAGCAAAGCATCTCTAGGAGGACTTTGAAAGATGCAGGATTCTCACAGAACACACACTCTGCGAACACAGTTGGCAGGTACAGGTCCATGGCCCCAGGGCTGACCTTACCTCTGAGGAAGTCGGCTTGCAATATCCAGCTCCAAAGACCAAGTTCTCCAGAGAAATGATGGACTGTTCTGTTCCCACGTCTGGGCCGCCTTTACCAAGCCAGGAGCCTCTTCCCGGACGAGCAAAACTAAAAGGAACACAGTGAAGGAGAAACCTCAGGTAAAGAAGGTGATGGTGGCCTTAACTCAGCACCCTTGAGGGGCACTGCTGGGAGCCCACAGGCAGGTCACTTAGAAGGAGATCCCCCCCTCACAGGGTCTGGACAGGACATTTGGGGATGTTGTGAGGACAAAGGGGTCAACTGGCATGTATACTTGGCAGCCATAGATGACACACATCCAGAAACTAGCAAAGAAATGCCTGCCTGAGATGCCATGAGCATGCCAGCTGAGGGAGACTGAGGTCTAGGCCACACCACCCCGAGCAGCAGGTGGACAGGCGCCTGGCCAGGGGCAGAAGGGCAGCCCTGCTCACACGGCTCCCCAGTGCTGTCACCTGAAGTGAGCCTCCTCCTGAGGCTTTGCCTGCTCTTTGGTAGAAGAATATAAAAGAATATCCACCTCCTTGAGCCAAGCAAGGGAACAGTCAGTGTCCAAGACAGTGCCATTGATAGAGCCCTCCCTGAGTCCATGGTAGCTAGCAGGACTGTAATCTGCTCAGCCGACAAACACAGACCTGGCCCACTCTGATTCCCTGTGGAGATCAACTGTCGTGGTGTGGTGGGTCTGATCAACTCTAGAATCAAGAAGGGAGGGAGGCAGGGTGATCGTTGCTCCTCATCTTACTAGCTAGCCTTTGGGATCGCCTCACCTACCTTGTCCTTTGTGACGTTCATCAATTAATGTACTGATGCAGGTCTGCCTTCAGATCTCACCTACTAGATACCTTAACACTGCATTATTTCTTATCGTCCGTGTGATAAACACTGCACAGGGAGACTGCAGGTCTATGAGGGCAGAGGGTCTTCGTGATAAGCAGGTGGCATCATCTTTATCATAGGTGCTCAAAAGAATCATGCAGGGTTTCCCCCAAGAGACCTACGTTCCCACTCAAAATACTGACAGAGAAAAAAGTTGACATTCTATTTTGGCTTAATCCACTTATTCAAATCTGAATAGTCTCACACCATGTGCCAGGCAGTTGAGGTGGTGCTCACCTCACTAATGGTATAGAGAAAGGGAGGGAGGTGGGCAAACCAGTCCCTGGAGAATGCAGTGGAGCTACATTGAGGCCTGCAAGCAGGGAAAGGTAGTTCTTGAAACACACTGGGTGACCAGGATGGATGTTCAGGCAGGGACTTGCTGCCTAATACATGTGTCTAAATGAGCAGCTGGCCATAAAGCCTATCTGCCAGGGGACAAGTCCCAGAAGCATCACCAGCACACTATGTGCCAGGGTCAGATTTAACCTCCTCTGCCTTGTCTCTCCATGAGTCAGAAGGGTTGATGATCACACTGGAACCGCAGAGTCACTGCCAGGACTCCCTGAGATCAGCCAAGGTGGCTTTAAGCACAGCGTCTAGCCAATAGTGAAGATCCACAAAAAGTCAGTAACTCTTAATGATGATGCAACCATCAGCCTAGTTCTATCTGCGTATCCATACCAGTCGTGTCTAAAGGCAGGACTATTATAATCCCCCTTTCATGCCCTCCAGTTCCACAGACTTGACCACTCAAGGATTGAAAATATTCAGAAAAAAAAAAATAGCATCTAAACTGAACATGTACAGACACTTTCCTTATAACCATTCCCTACACAATACAGCATATCAACGCTCCACACAGCATTTACATTCTATTAGACATTGAAGGTGATCCAGAGATGACTAAAAGTTTCTGGAAGATGTGTGTAGGCTGTGTGCAAATCACACCATTTTATATACTGGCATTGAACATCCATGGGTTTTGGTATCTGTGGGGGTCCTGGAAACAAGCCCCACCCTGTATGGAGGCACGGCTGTCTAATGTAATATTAGCATGATTCTGATTTGAGTTGAGAGTTGAGGCAAGTTTCCCATTCAGCTAGAAGATGGGTGGAAGGAACTTTCCAGAAGAAAAGTAGAATAGATGTACCTATAGGTGTGCATATAGCAAAACAGTATTCATTTAAGTGTTGCCCTTGTTTTGTCTTTGTGAAGGATGGGAACACCTCAGAAGAAGTCCACCTGCCCCATTTGAGGGTTAAAACTTGAATTATTTTCTTCAGTCTCTCATTGAAGGTTAAGGGTCTTTTGAGGTTAAGTTTTAATTTCACACCTCCTTCATACTTATTGGATCTGACTGATGCTGTTTAAAATTGCTTTTCTAGAAAAGCTAGTGCTTGTCCTATTTGACAGGTATTTCCCACAATCTTAAAGGGTTCCCTTTGTTCTCAGCTACCATGAGCCAAGATAGAAATTCTTCCTGCAAAATCCAGGGAATGGAAGACAGTCCTATTTTTACCTTCATCTCCGGAGAAGTATGAGCTCCCACTGTGGATTTATCTGCGTCCTTCTCCGGAAGGTCCTCAAGGCAAACCTGGCAGACACCATTCCTGACGGGGGTAGATTTTCTACCAAGAGTCCACAGATGCCCAGTCCTCATTAGAATACCATCAGGGCTGCCAGCGGCACAGAGGGAAAGCCCTGCTCGCACTGCCACTTAAGGTGATGTGAACATTCCCGCAGTCTGTCTTTGCTCCTGCCCCCTCTTGATGGAACCTCTCTCCAGCCAGCCAGAGGGATCTCTACAAAACACAGCTCTACCAGGCTGCTCTGCTCAAACCTTCAGGTTACTTTACAGAGTAACTGGACTTTCAATTCCTTAGCATGTCTCTAATCACACTGTTAAAATCTGGCTCTAATTCACCCTCCTGAATCCATCTCACCACCACACGGAACACCAAGCCCATTTCTTCTGCAAAGCTTTCCTCTGGGTTTCAAGCAGAACTGCTTCTTGCCACTCTCAAAGTCACCTGCCAGTTATTAAGCCCGTATTCATTTGGTCTAGATCAGAGCTTGGAATGTGGTTGATGCTCAGTAACAGTTAACCTACTGGATGCTTGGCCAAGGGCTGTATATATACTCTCTTTCCCACGTGCTCAAATCAACACTACTGGCAAGCAGGCACTCAGGATTGCCACCTGGCCCTTCTGACCCTAAAGCCCTTACTTTTAACCCTACCCTACAGGGGCTCTCTGGATACTGGGCACACCCCTCAGTTTAACTGGCGTCACTCTGAATCGGGACTCACTGCTTATGGGGATCTCTGCCAGGCTCTGCACCTTCTGGGTTTGGGGAGTCTGATCTGCTCATCTCAGAGCTTCCAGGTTCAAGCTGTGAGTGGTTCAAGCACAGCAAACCAAGCCCTGAGCCAAGGACATTTTCCCCAAGGGGGAGGCCCTCTACTTGTTCCATGGCATCCCCATCTTCTCTGTTGGCTCAATCTCACCTCCATCTGAAAGAAATTCCTTATTCATCATTGTTTATATGTTGAAACAGGTGTTGAGGGAGTTTAGGTCACCTGCCTAGGGACCCCCAGGAACTAAGTGGTAGACTGGACAATGAGATGGCGGTGACGGCATCTGAGGAGGATGACCCACTCTTGAGGAGCTGGAATCACAGAGAGAGCTCTGCCCTTCCTCCCCCAGGCTGTCACCTGCCTTCGGCACAACGGCTGATCTCAGGACACCGGTCTCACCTCACTGACACAGAGATGACCCTGAACTCTGCACCAGGCCCCATCTGCCAATCCTCAAAGCAACTTCAGGGCTGGGGAACTTGCTTCACAGAACAGCAACACTCTGCTGCTTCTGGAGCCTACTTTTCCAGCGATTTTCCAAGGCCAGGTCTGTGTCCCTGTGTTCCTAAGATGATAAATCCTAGAACAATTTCCACCAAGCTCCACTACAACAACGCATACCATATTATATTTCCACACATGCAGATTGGCCGGCTCCTCTGCGAGTGAGCTCCTTGAAGGAAAGGTCTGTTTCGAGGACCCTGAGGATCCCACAGTAGGATGTGCAGGGCAGAACCTGATGCCTTCTCTAGCACACCAGGTGCTCAGCAAGTGCTCATGGTGCAAGGAGAACGAACAGCCCCACAGACTCCCTGACCCAAGTGCCTCCTTAATCTTCAGAGCACAGCTCCTATCAAACAGCTCAGTCAAGGTTAAGGGCTTCTCAGCAGAGCACTGTGGGCCATGTGGCCCCAGGCTTGGGGGCTGCTGCTCACCAGCTGTCGGCACCCCTCAATTCCCTATTCTCTTGGGTTCTGCCATGTGCTCTGACTTTAGCTCCCAGGCACGATTGCCCTCTGTGCCCAAAGCCCACACTACTGCAAACCCTCCAAAAAGTGATTCACTTTTTCCTCTCAGAATCCACCTCACATTCCCTGTGAGCCCCACTTACTCTTGGCACTGAGAAACCATCCAGGAAAAGGAAATTGGGACAATTCCCTTTCCAAAAATCTGTGTTACAAGATTCTACCCCTAAATAGCTCATCGTACACATTTGCACCTTTAGTCTACATGCACGTGAGATATTGTGAGATGATTTAGAGGCCCATGGTCAGCCATGCTGGGGCGTTCAAAGAGGTCATGTGCAGCACAGTGAACTTGCTATGGTCAGCTTTGTCTCTGCTCTGCCTTAGTGCTCCCCGGGAACTTGGAGGCTGTCCCAGGAAAGCCACTGAAGAGGAACAGCGAAGGAGCAATCGTACACCTGGTCACCCGCCTTTGAACAAATAGCCACCAAGGAGGAGAGAGAGCATGGAACTCTTGCCACGTGGCTGGCCCTGTCATCTGGGAGTCACTGCAACGCATGTAGATGGCACCCGTTAGCACTCCTGCCTTAGAGATGAAGCTCATGGGACTCAGGACATAAGATGACTTGTCAAATAAGACAGATAAAAGTGAGGCAGGTGAAGACTCCAGGCCTTCCCTGGTGGGAGCCACAGTTGGCAGATTTTTAGCCCCTGGACTCCACCCTGTGCCCCTCTGCCTCCTGGTGGTCCCTCCACACGGCTCCTCTAGCTCTTCTGTGTCTCTTAGTGAGGCCCAAACCTACACCCACAGCCTGGAGGCAGCTTCTCTGCTCGGAACTGACCTCTCTGGGCAAGCTCCATGCCTCCAGCCACACCTGTGATGGGAGGTGACTCTCCATGACTCGGGGCCACCTCTAACTTCATACCTGATCAGGGGCTGCTGCAGAGCCACCAGGGCAGCGTGAACGGTCACGGAGATCACTGACAGGTGGAAGTAGTCGAACATGACAGGGACCTGGTGGTGCAGACCTCTCCGGGGGTGGAAGTGCAGGCCGAGTGTGCGGCTGCTGATCATTGGTGCCCCGGCCACGTCCCTTAACCTGGAAAACATGCAAGTGGCTCATATTAGTGATGAGGTTTTCCCTGCTGTGGTCCAATGGTCCACAGGCCAAACACAGGGCATGCTCATCTTAAAATCTGCACAACTCTGCCTGGTAGGAATCATTTTCTTCATGATCAGCAAGTGAAGGAGCTAAAGCTACACGGCAGATCTGGGACTCATGCTCTGTCAGGGACACCACACCCACACTTCAGGTGACCAAGATGCCCAACTCCCTCACTGCTCCTCTCAATGCCACAGCCTCCTGGCTGTCTTTCCCTTCCTCTCTCGATGCTCCACCAACTGCAGCACTGAGCTTACTGTGCTGATCCACTTCAGAACCTGCACCTTCAGTCACATTTCTACTCCAAGGACAGGAGCTGCCACGACTCCGTCTTTCCAGCCCCGACACCCAAGTAGGCCTGGCAAGAGTAGAAGCTGCACAGTGTGCTTATTGAGGTGGATGACTGATTGAGCAAAAGCAAGAATGGACCCGGAGCGCATGGCCAATGGGTCTGAGCGGTTTCGTGCAGGCCCCCACCTTTGTTCTGACACGTCATGACAGGTGTGCACCGGATGCTCAGAGGTAATCAACTGGAAGGAAAGACCCAGCAGTACCTTTGCTTATAAAGGGAGCTTGAGTCTCCTCTAAAAATAACACCAGATACAGTGGACCTCAGGAGGACCAGCACTGACCTCCAGTCCCTCAGGCTCTGTGAGCTGTGCTGAGCCCGAGCATGTGAGAAAACTGGAGGAGTGTCTTCTAGGACTGAGTCAAGAGAGAAGCTTTTCCTTCCTCCACAGGTGAGGAGGTGAGGCAAGGCACTGGAGTCAAGGGAGCAGCCGCCCACAGCCCCCAACAGCTGTCCATTGCAGTCCTTGATGCTCCTGGGCCAATGGAGGCCTTGTGACAGAGCTGAAACCACAGGCCCCGCGCAACTCCATAAATAAGCTGCAAGTGACCAGGAAGAACTCGCATGACGATGGGATGGAGTCTCTACCCAGGAGCTCAGAGAGTCATTAGCATTGCACTTGATTCCAAGCTGATAATTCATGAGGCCTGTCTAGGTATCGAACACACTGCTTTTCCCTTCCTCTATATATACTCATAGGACGTATTTACTAATGTTATTCCACTTACTGAAGAGGAAAAAAGGCCAAGTGAGGTAATTAACTTGCTCAAAGTCACAAGCAAAATGGAAAGGTCAGACCATGTCCTTCTGACTGCATGTCTGTTCCGAGTTACTTTAACACTGCCCTGAGTCTGTTCAGACCCAGGCTCCTGCAAGTCACAGACACATTCTTAGGGCCTGACCAACAGGCCGTTTAAGAGGAGGTTTAACAGGTGGTTAAACAAGTCACAGGGTAGCACAGGTGTAAAAACGTTAGCACGAATTTAAGCCACTTTGATCAGAGTCACCAATGAAGAAAGTGGGAGTTGACTGCCCTTCGGTGCCCTGAGATGAGTAGAGCCAGTTCCTGGAGACCAAACTCAGATGCTGGGGCTATCTCAACTTAGAAAAGACAGAGATAAACTCAACAGCACCCAGGCAGGGGAGAATGCCTGGGTCCTTATAAATGACCCAAGGCCAATGAACAAAAAGCAAGTAAAGACAATAACAAAGAAGCAGATCAGCAGGGAGAGAGCCCAGGGTGTATGTAGCCTGGAGATGAAGAGGTGGCTTAGAGAGGTCTCCTGAGCCGAACAGCCATCCACACTGAGAGTGTTCTTTATGTAAGAAGAATCAAATTAAGGAAGGACATAAGAATGGACTGCCCCTTCAAGGAAAGAATCTCCTGGGCAGCAGAGCAGTTTGGGGACAGAAACGGATATGACTACAAGGCGTGTGCTCCCTGGCCTGAGGCCAGAGGTGTGGAAGATCTCTGCAGGCAGGTATAGGGTGCAGTTAGGCCAAAGCAGGGCGCCTCAGTCTCAGGGATGTTGACTCTGGGGCCTGAAGAGACTTTGCTGGGATCGGGGCTGTCCTGTGCACTGTGAGTCTGCACAGCATCTCTGGCCTATACCCACCAGATTCCAATATCCCTCTCACCCCTGTGTCTCTGGACAAGGACAAATGTCCCCAGGGGCCAGCTTTATCCCACCTTTATTGGAGCCAGTGGATGAGATGGGCTTCAAGTGCTCTTCCAACCTGCTCCATTTGATTGCTATTTGTTTGTTTTCTACCTGGGGCCAAAGAAGCCAGCTGACCTGGTGATGCTTCAAAGTCTAATGTCTTCCCCCAGGATGTGCTACAGATGCCTTATCATCCTTAAACCCAATTTAAGAAAATGAAAATCTATGGCATTTCCAATCTTCCCCAGCTGTTGGCTTCCTGTTCCTCTTAGCTAATCTTGTACTTCATGCAAGCCCCGTTCAGATTGTTATTAAGAGCTTCATATTGCACAGAGGAAGCAACACATTGAAGCCTGACCTTACTTTCATCTCTAAAGCCATAAAAGCAGTCACCTGTTCAGCAGGCCACGCACTGGGACTGCTATATGTATTGTCCCTCTTAATCCTCATAACAGACCCAATAATAATGCCTATTTTATAAACAGGGCTACTAAGATTTGGAAAAACACAGGGACTCTCCCAATATTTCAGAGTTAATGAGAACTAAACCCCAATGGCTGCATCTTATGCAAGGATTCACTCAACCTCCTGTGCACAGGCTCACCATCAATGACTTCTTCTGGAAGGAAAGTGTCATTTACTGTGTCCACTATGACTTACATTAGAGCTTCTTAAAGGGAATATCGGGGAGCGATTTCCAGGCTGGGGTTGGAATCAATGGTAGGTTTCTATGGTTAACTGGGAATGCCTACCAGAGAGCCATGGATGAAAACTCTGGAGGAAGTGGACACGGGGACATAGGGCATTGGTGGGTTATCAGAGGAGTGAATGATAGAGACCTCAGATGGTGGAGGGGGGCATGTGAACAATGGAAGCAATGGTTTGATTCTGAGACTATACACAGGATTTCTTAAGCCTCCACTTTCCCACGAAGTGGGAAGCAGATGTAAGGAGAGAAGCAGATGTCTAGGGGGTCCTGATAAAGACAAGAAGGAGGAGTCCACAATGTTGAGCCCAGACATGGATCAGGACCCTGGACAGACACTGTGAGAGCCCAGAGACCAGGAAAGCCCAGCCACATCAACACAGGTCCATTCTCCAATGCCCAGACCCAATCAGGCCTCTCTTTGGTTCAGATCCCACCCCCAATCCCGACTCATCTGCCCATGTTATGAAAACACCCACCACTACTAGGTAGATTTCAGGGACTGGATCCGTGAGAACTGAGAGAAAGTCCTTGGAGGAAGTCAGAATTCTGAAGGGATGGAGGCCTTCAAATACTGGACTGTCAGCCTCCTAGTCCTCATTCGCCAAAGAAAAAGGCAAGACCAGATGTGAGGATTGATTTTAATTTCTGTAAAGTGGTCAGTGTATCTGAGGTTCTCCAGAGGACAGTGGTGAGAGGAAGTTTGCTCCTTATCACCGTCTGCCAGCAGAGGAAGGGTCCTCAAGTGAGCTGACAAGACCAACCTGGAGGAGGAAAAGTTTATTTTGCTTCAGAGTTTCAGCCCATGGTAACTCCACCATTGTCCTGACCTGAGATAAGGCAGAGCATCACGGTGGAAGGGTGGGGCAGAGGGAAGTTACTACACTCTGGCCTGCATCCCCTAGAACTGTGCAAATAGGTCCTGGTGACTACCTCATCCTTCTAAGGCTCTCCGCTGAGCAGCTGGATGAGGCTGGACTAGTCTGAGGGAGAGAGAACAGCCATGGGGGTGGGGGGGTGATTCTCCATGAATGTGAGATGGGGGTTCAAGTGACTTTGTATATTTCCCAGGAACTAGATGTGGGATCCTTGGAGGAGTGTCTGCCTGTTGTGTTTGGATATGAGGTATCCCCCCAAAGCTCCAGGAACATGCCAGCAACATGGACTGTCTGCCAGGACACTACTGTCTGAGGACAGAGCCAGGCTAGAAGAGGGGCCATGTGGGCTTCGCCTGGCACAGTCACAGAGGCAGGCCACCCCAGCCCTGCGGAGACAACAACTTGCTACCATGTGCACCAGATGCTAGAGGCAGAGCCACGGGAAACGTTTGCTCAGCTAGGTTTCAGTCTTGCTTTGGCCGCATCCCTTCTTGCAATGCTCCTATCCTTCCTTTTTGGAATGGGAATGATTAGTCTCTGCCATTATGTGTTGGATGTATGTAACTTTTTGCAAGGCTCACAGCCAAGAGTTTGCCTTAAGTATCAGAGGAGACTTGGATTTGAACTTGTGGGCAATGCTGGAACTGTTAAGACCATGGTGACTCTTCAAAGTGGGCTACATGTGTTTTTCCTTGTGAGATAGACATGAGCTCTTGGGAACAGGGACAGAATGTCATGGTTATGGTTATGAGGTATCCCCTTAATGCAAGAACAACGTTCAGAGGTGAAATGATTGGACTACGAGAACTGTAACCTAATCAGCCATCCTAGTTTGAATGGTCTAGGTGATGGGCAGGTGGGGCACAGTTGGGGGAGGTGTGTCATGTCACTAGGGGCGTACCCAGGAAGGGCTCATCTTCTCTATGACACCTTCACTCCTCTCTCCCTCTTCTTCCTGGCTGCCCTGAGTGTAGTAACTTCCCTCTGCCCCACCCTTCCACCATGAAGCTCTGCCTTACCTTAGGCCAGGGCAATGGTGGTAGTTAACCATGGGCTGAAACTCTGAAGCAAAATAAGCTTTTCCTCCTCCAGGTTGTTCTTGTCAGGCATTTTGTTCACAGTGATGGAGAGCTGACTAACACACTGCCTCCGAGAATGTGCTGCACGACACCGTCACCTGGCTGGAAAAGGCCCCACTGGATCAGAGAACCACAGAGGTGGGTGGGGAGGTGGCTGGGGGTCTAATGAGTGGATCTCCAAGGAATTAACAAGAACGCTCTGAGGCGGATTCAGCAACTGCCACAAAACGGGCCCTACCTTCCACCAACCCAATTTCGTTTCATGCCATTTTCTCCATCTTCTCCCTCCTCACGGCCTGGCCCCAAAACCACAGTGGAGAAGAAAGCTGGGGAAGAAATACAAAGCCCCACCCATGCCCTGCCTCTGCACTGGGCGTCCTCACCCCGGGAACCTGGATCCAGGGTGGGATAAGAAGGCAGGTGGAAGTTATAACCGGGACGAGAGTTTAGAGTTTTGACATTCCTGCTTGGAGTTTTCAATTCCGAGGTAAAGGATGATTTACTTATTACCTGGAAGACTCCACTGTGCTAAATGAGATGACAGTTCACTCAGGGCTGAAGGCAGAGGCCACAGAAAAGAATTAAAGGAAGCAGCCATGAGAAGGAAGAGAGTCACTTCCCAGTGATTTAATCAGCAGGTTATACATAAATGGATTTTCAATTTTCAGAGAGTTGAAACACAACAGAAGGTATTCAGTACAAAGATGCAGAGTCACCTGGCAGGGGAGGTACCATGATCACGAAGGTGGTTTTCCCAGGGTGAGGCTTATCCATTGCACAAAGATGCAGAGTCCTGGCAAAATTTCCTCTGATTCAGAAGAGGCTTTGAATTTTACGGCCTCACAGGGTCGTTATTCTAAAACCACCAATTACTACCGCAGTGAAAAGGTACTGAGTACAGAAGGCATCAGCCAGTGCAGCTGAGAAGTGGGGAGATTTCTGTGCACACAGAACCGGAGCCACCTGCCTCAAATGCACAGTTTGAAATGCCCACACAGACCTTCTTGGCCGTTCCTGGTCAGCTGTGACTAGTGGGGACCTGGCAGCTTCCAGGAACTGGGTTTCTGAAAGGTGTTGTGAGGACTGAGCCTTGGGGATGCCCCAGGGTGGGGACAGGGCGGGGAAGCCGCAGGGCCAGCGCAACTCACTGCTCTTCACTATCCGTAAAGTGCAGGTCCGCCTTGAGCTGAAACTCGACTCCGCTCAGCGCGTCTTCCACCTGCAAAAGAAATAAAGTCCGAGGGATTCAGAAACCGACTCTGGTCCGCTTGAAATACTCAGCTGTTCTATTTCCTAAATTAGAGAAACAGTAGAGAATTCCAGCACAAAATGGAAGTCACTATTGCTTAAAGCAGGTTCTCCCTGCAAGTTCTGTGGTGTCCTGGATGAACAAGGTCCCTGGGTGAGTCCTGTGGAAAGTGGAAGGAGAGCATTTACGTAGCTGGCTGGCGAAAGCCTCTGTGCCAAAACCGCTAAACACGTTTCCTGAGGGTAGGACCCCTGGAGGCCTCATTTCCCTGTGGATTAGATCTGGAGTCTTTTCAGGCTGGATGAGATGTTCAGTAGCACCTCCTTTGAGAAGGATGGAAAAGCGAACTTACAGTGAAATCTAACTTGGCTAATGATGGGATAAATCAGTGATAAAGTCTTCTCCAACCCCAGTTCCCTTGCATGGCAGGGATGTGTCCACATGTGCAGAGGAGGAAGTCCACACCCAGGAATGCGAAGTAATTTCCCCAGGAGGCTCAAGTCCACAAGAAAGAAGCTCTTCATTGTCATCTTGAGGATCCTTACATGTAACCATTTCAATTTCAAGACACTTCTTTTTAGCATTTTGTGTCCTTTCATTGTTAGCAAGTCTGTGCTTCCCACATTCACCGGTATCCCAATTTTTCTTTTCTCATGCTCAAAATCATCACCCCTGGTCAAAAGGGAGTCTCACACTAACTTCCAGATGTCCCAGTCCCTCTACTCAGCAGGCCTTCCCAGCACCAGCATTGCACACAGGTGACAGGACTCAGCCCCCATCCCTGGGCCGGGTGTGTCCTCCTTGGTACCCCACAGAACCCTGCTTCTTTTCTCTTAGCATTTAGTACTTCGTATTAGAATTGTTTGTTTCAGGTTTATAGCTGGAAGCTCAGGAACCAAATGTTATCTGTGAACGTGTTTTGTTTAATCCCCATGGTATTTTAAAAAATGTTTTGAACAAGTTGCAAACATTTAAAATTCAGGCAATTTCCCATTCGAATTGCAGGTTTCTAGGTTCTGGAAAAATAAAATCCCTGGATCTGGCAGTGCAGAGCTGGCGTTGGTTTGGATCAAGCAATTCTTCTTGCACCTACCACTGCTTCACCATTGACTGCTGATGCCTGTCTGGCCTGTGGCTAAGCCCCCGCCGCCCCCCCCCCCCCCCACCTACTTTCTTGCTGGATGTTCCTTCTAATCTTATCATTAAAGGGACACTGCTCTTCATACTTCTGGACCTCAAGCTCAAGGAATAGGGCCTGCTACAAAGAAAGTGTCTGTGCATCTTCAAGGAATAAAGCCCTTCCCATCCCACCTTTTTTAGTGGGGATTGTTTCTTTGCAAGAATGTGCTCATCCTGCAGGGACAAAAATCTCCTATCCAAAGGCCTCTTGGGAAACGTCTTCCTGGTTAAGCATAATTCAGGCAGAGACATATGGATGGAATTTATCTTTAGGTCCTTAGGGTTTTAAAAATTGTTGTTTAAAAAAAAGCATTTGAAAGCTAACATTTTGCTGAATCCAAATGCTATAAATAACTTCTCCTAGATTTGTTTTGCATAATCACGAGCCTCACTTCACACACACAATGAAAGCAAGGCAGCCTCTTGCCACCAGTTCCTTGGAAGTAAGACTGGCAAAGCAAGGCCCCAGCCACCTTCTAAGCTGCATTTGCCTTGGTAATGAAAACTCCCTGTGAGCTCCAGCTTTAAACTCACTGCAGTTCCCTAGGAGCTGTGGCTGGATTGAGCCTGGCTGTGACTTCACTGACACCACAATAAATCTTAATTCCCAATGAAGTCGTTACCTTATGTGACCATTCATTTCATGAAGGGCTGTTACCCGCCCCTCCAACACATATGTATGCACACAAACACACTACACAGCATACACGTCGTTCCCTAACCCTGTCTTTTCTCAGTTAAAGACATCTCCCTTCAAGGGTTAGGTTCACAAGACCTGAGGTATTTTTGCATGATAATGGAGATAATAAAAGAAGTTAATACTTATGAAAAAGTTGCTATGTGGCAGACCTTACCTGATGTAGATTAAACTATGAATGAAGAAATATTGTCCCCCATTTACAAGTGAGAAAACTGAGGCTCTGTATGGTCAAGTCGCTTTCCCAAGCTTGGTCCTTGAGCGAGTCTTATGTGCCCGGTTCTGCCCTGGGCTCTGATCCTCATGGTCAAACCTGTGTTCTAGGCTATACCTCCTCTCCCTATTGGCTTCAAATCTACTCATGGCAATGACTCATCACTTTTCCCTTGTCCCCCAATCCTCATTTGGACTGGTGGCTAAGGAGGGAGCTTCTGAAGGCAGGCTACATAGGTGCCAATTCTGATGCTATCATTGAGCCCACCTCTCCACTGATTTCCATCTGTAAAATGGAAGTAAATTATGCTTACTCCATAGGGTTGTTGTTGTGTGAACTAAATATGATAATGTACACAAGGGGTTGACAGTTCTCAAAAAAATATTAGTTATTATTATTCCGATTATTTCCTCTTTAGTTCTGGGCCACCAACCCCACAGTGGTCCTACCCACAGGGATTAGACTACCTGGGCTGGAAGCCTCTTTCTACCCCTTTCCTTCCTGGTGGGGTGACTTTAGGACAATAACTTAACATCTCTTAATCTCAGGATCTTCATCCATAAGACAGGAGTAATAAAACACAATGATGTTTCAGTGAATCAAAGAGAATACTCCACACAATGCCTGCCACACAGTACCCGCTAATAAATGTAAGATACCATTACTGTTAAAGTCATCATGATGGTTATTCCCACTCAACCTGGATGCCTATCACCTTTCAGTAGAATCTTTGCCTCTCCCAACTACCCTGGACAGCAACTTCATGCCACAGAGTAGGGTGACATCACTGGCTGTCTTCTCTGTGTGAAGTCCTCCATCTCTGGACTTAACTTGATCCTCTTCCATGGGCTGTGCTGGGCCATCCTGCAGCACGGTTTCTGTCCATCCTATTGCTGGTCACCTGTCCAACCTCTACCTTGACACTTGCAACTCTTATGTGGGCAACAGCAGTGACAGCTTCTATACCCTTAGTCTCCTGAGCCCCATTTCCCATATTTGTGCAGGAATGACCTGTGCAAACCCTCCTCCCACTGAGTCTGGAAATCCTCCTGCCTTTAGACCAAGGTGAACAGGTGGACTTCAGTGGGGTCCCTGTGACCCCCATGCTCTTCTTAACCTTCCTTTCCAGATCCGTGTCTGTGGTGCCTTCTGTGCCACAAGCCATGACGCTCTCTTCCTCAAATCTGCCCTGTTTTACTCCTCACTGTCCTTCTGTCCTGTGTCTCAGAAGTGCTTAACTGGTTGGTAGGGAAATCCCACCTGTGCCTCCATTCCCAAACTCTGAATCAACCCAGTAACCCATCCTGCAAATCATAATGCTCTGTTAAATCACCAGGCCGCGGTGGCCTCTAGGATCTGCATTTTGTGCAAGTTCTACCAAAAAACTATGATGTGGGTACTCCCTGGAATCCCACTTTGGGGAATGCTTTTCTTTTTAAACCCATATAATGCAATATTGTTCAGACACACACACACACATACATTGAAGCAATCTGTTCTTCTTCCTCCTCAGAGCATCAGGCATCTTGTCATTGTGATTGTGTCTTCTTCTTCATTTTGCCAGTTGGGAGTCTGTGCTCCATGTGTGGGCTGCCATTAGCCAAGGTCCAGAGGATGTGTGTGCATTTTGTTCTGCTATATTTACCCCAGGCCTTCTCTCCCTTTCTGTGTTTGTCCTCTACTCTGGCTCATTCCATTGCTTTTATTTTTTTGTCCCCTTTTACCAATCCATGTATATTGTAAGCCTTCCTCAAACTTCTGTGGGTTTCCACAGCATTTATATACAACACGCACACACACACACACTACCTCCACACTTGCTCTTTGCAAGTTCTATTGAAACATCTCATCACATTTCTTAACTGTGATGGACTAGTTCTCTCCCTGGCCATCCCTTGAACTCCTCTGCAGCCTCACTGTGCGCACTGAATCCTCTCCATGTGGGAATTCCCCATGGCTCGTGGCAAGATATGCCTGCTGGACAAGCATCCACTGTGCCGATGTCTGTTGTTCATAGAGACGGATGCATTCATTCCTGGACATATCCTCTGTCTTACCCAGCCGCAGGCTGTAAGCAGTATTTTGGCTGTCACAAGCAGGTAGATATGCACTGGAAAAGAATCCATGCATGCATTCCGAATACACAGGTTTTCAGACATATCCAATTAACTTTAATTATCACCGATTTGGATATAATGATTAGTTGCAACATTGTTTGCTGCCATATGGATTACCGCTAACAATAATGAATTATTATTTTATATAGGTAAATAATTTGACATGGAAAAAAAAAACAATATATCCTATGAAACAGGCTCCCATTTAACCTTGGGATGTTTTAGGATCTCATGAGGTTCAACTCAAAAGGCTTTCAATTTGTAAGGGCCGTATCAAGAAACAGGAAATTAAAATGAAATAATGCCAAGAGGTAACATTGAAATAGAAGCACCAAACACCAGGTGTTCTCTTTCCCTATTTCTCTCCAGTATGGGACATACTTAGTGAGGGTCAGTGAATCTTGGAGAAATAGAGAGATGAGTGGATAAATGGGAAACAAGTGGCAGCACTTACTTTTAGCCACACAGGAAATCCTGGTCACTACCTAGAGCACAAAAGTTGGACCAAAAGCTGAGGGACAGGAGAAACACGTGACCAGAGAAGCTGCTATGCACACCACATGGGAATGAAGCAGGAGGACTCTAATTAAGTTTTCCTAAAATAGGAGCACTTTTCCACATCCTGAAAGGGATTCTATCAAGAAATAATCAACAGGAATGTGGCACCAGGGATTTGAGTGGGGCTAGGGAGTGAGAGCAATGGTTTGGACTCCATATCCTCCTTTGAAATGTGTTAATTTGATGCGTGAGGAATTTTCAATGGCGAGCCAAGGTCTCTCCGCTGTCATTCCTGCCATTCCCTTTCCTGGGATGTTTTTTTCTCTGTCTCCGTCTGATAGACTCTTAGCAGGTAGGTCTGAAAGCCATCTCCTTTGTGAAGGGGTTGATGAGCAGCAGCTTTGTGGTCCCAGAGCTCAGTTCTCCACCCTTGGATTCCCTTTATTCTTCCCTACGTAGCCAGCATAGTGCACATCATTTACCAAGATGCTTGTTTAAACATCTTTGTCCCTACTGAAGAATTCACCCCTGAAAGGCTGAGGTCCTGCTGCCTTCTTCATCTCTGTCTCTCATCCAAGAGCCCAACACAGGCTTTGCAAGAAGAAGATACTCAAAAACCTATGCTGACTGATTCATGACAGAGTGCCTGAATGGATGCACAGACAGACAAGTGAGGAATGGAAGAGAGACAATGGAGATGCTTGCCCCTGAGACCTCATGAGATGAGCAAGCCCGTGAATGAAAGGATGAGTAAAGTATGCATCTGTAAGCAAGTGCATGAATGCCCTAACATCATGAGTTCCCATCTGTCAGATTTCAGACTTGGTCTCTGGCTTCACCTTCACTTACCATTTACCTAGCAATGAGAGGAACTGGTCAAGAGGGAGAATAGCGTCTTGGGCTGGTGGTTGATTCACGACTTACCCTTTCACCGTCAAGGAGCAAATGAGCTCGAAAGATCATGGCATCATTTATGGGCACCTCTTCATTCCTGTATAAGATCTGGAAGACCCGGCTGTGCACAGTGCTCTCATGGACACAGGCGGAATGCAGAGTGCTGCTCTCTGCAAAACAAGAATCAGAAGGTGCTCATGAACTCCAACGCCACCCTGTGCCTTCAGCCCCATCAGGTGTCACTTTAGGAAAGTAACAATCCCAAACCCCAAACTGCATTGCAATTTCCAAAGCTTAAAAGCATGCATGAATGACACCCCCACACATGTGGTTATCCAGTGGGGCTGGTATCTCAGGGAAGCCAAGTCCTTGTCCTGGAGCTATGGAGTGGAAACCCGGGAGGGCTAGAGCATAGGTGGCGTGGGCCTGATGTGCAGCAAGCGAGGGCCGTGGCAAGCCAGGGCATGCCAACCTGTTACCTTGTGGTAACCTGGCCCAGGCCTGGTGTGGACACCCACTACACCCATTTCTCCGAAGCTCTGAACCCCCATCATCCACTGTCCAATGACCTCAGCCTCCTACTTCCTGCAGTAAGAAAATATAAGTGGGGCAGACCTGAATGGAAGTTCAGACTTAAGGGTCAGCTAATAACATTGGTACTTTTCCAAACCCTGATTAGCCTAACTTGGCACCACTAGCATTGACCAAGTGCAATAGGAAGCCCTAGACTAGTACGCTCAGGTGGCAAGCCCTATTGGGGTTCCCTCTTGCCCTTCCCAGAGTTCTATTTCTATGAACATTGGGATAAATGTTACTCCTCTACTCTTGCCTTCCATTGTCTGGGAGTTTCATTCTTTAGATTTAGGAGATAAGAACCAGGAAAGAAGTTGGTGGTGAGCTGCTGGGGTCTGTTGCAACACTGGAGGGCATAGTGCACCATTTAGAGTGGTAACACCAAGAGCTTCAATATGCCACTCCACAGCCCTGGAGAAGAATTGAGCTTTGCTAGCTGTGACCCTCAAAGCTGATGCCAGTAGGCATCCCCGCTGTGATTAGCTGCTAATACTAAAATGGGGCTTTCTCAGCTACAGAGGCCAGCAGCTTACACAGGACCCCACACCAGGAGAAATGGAGAATCGAACTTCATCTCAAACTCTGGTTTCACTGGGAGAAATTCAATGTCTTAGAAGCCATCTGACCTCTACAGGCCACTTATGCTCTGGGCAGTGTTCCTGGCTGGGATTTAGTACCTGGCCTGCTAAATTCCTCACCCAGTCACTTGTCCCCTCCTCTGTGAGTCTTCCCATACTTCCCCCATCCTGGAATCAAGAAAGATAGGGAATGAGAGGGGTAGAAACCCACAGACCCATCTCTCCTGAAAGATGTTTGCATATCACATATGATGTGAAGAACTCATCTGGGTGTGTTTGCTCCAATGTTTTTTTTATATGCCACAATCCCTGAATACTATTTTCGATGTTAAGCTGAATTTCAGAAAGATAATGAGGTTAAGAGACCTTACTGCATCCACTGGCCAGGGTTACAATGGGATACACGGGTGAATTCCTCCATAAACTTAATACGTACAATATACTGTCAGAAAAATATGTAAGTATTCTAAAATAACATTAAATTTGCATAAAGGAATAATTACTTACTCAAAACAATGACCTACTGGGTGGCATTTAGAGCTTCCAAAAGTGCTTTATAAGTGTTACTCACTTTAACCCTCTTAGTAAATTCCTAGGGTAAGCTTCACTACAGATAAAAAAAACTGAGGCTCAAAAACTAAGACACAGATGTCTTAACACTTCCTTGTTATGAACTGAGTGCTGTGTTTCCCTGGAGTTCTTATGTTAGAATCTAATTTCCAGTGTGACAGTGTTTGGAGGGAGGGCCTTTGGGAGGGATGAGGTCACAGGGTGATGTCCTTATGAATGGGATTAGTGCCCTTTTGATAAGAGATCAGAGAATTAACCCTTCATTCCGTCATGAGAGAATGCAGGGAGAAGTCATCCATCCACAAGTCCAGAAGAGGGTCCTCACCAGAACCCCATGGTGCTGGCACCCTGACCTCAGGCCTCCACTCTCCAAAACTATGAGAAGTGAATTTCTGTTACTTATACGCCACCCAACTTATGGCACCTGTCACAGTAACCTGAGCTAAGACATTATTCTCTGATGAGGCACTGTGTGGACTCATCCTATATCGACCTATTTAAGAACTGAGTCAATAAACTCTAGGTGAATGAGGACATTTATCTAATGTTCTAGCAAAAGGTAGGCACTTGATAAAGCACAGCAGAAAGAAAGAAATAGCATGGTAGGTAAAGGTGTCAAAAATTACAAGAAAATCAGTCCAACCAAAAAAGAAAACCTGCCCTACGACCTCGTGCAGCATACCCCATGGCTTAAAGCATGCCTAGGAAGCAGGGCTCTCTGTCATCTCCCAACACACAGTGACATCTAAGTGGCACCTGTTCAGCTACACGCAGCATCCAAGGGTGATCTCAAGGGTGCCAAGAGGTGCCTGCTCTGGTCCACACTGCACGGTGGAGCCCTGTTGAGTCCTGCTGGATTCAGAGGCAGGTGCTTTTAAATAGAAAGAACTCTGCACAGAATCCCATTTTTGTTTGCTGTCCCAGCCCTTTCTCTGTCACCGTCAGGGCCTATTTGATCTATAAGCCAGCCTGACAACATGGCAGGGGATGGATGAGGTAAAGACTCTGAAGGTCAGAGCAGCACGGGCCATCTGCTGCCCAAAGGGACAGCCAGGAAAACAGGTCAATCACCTGCCTTTTTGGGCAAGTGACATCACCTCTTATAACAGAAGCTTTCCATGTGAAAAATGGGCATGTCCACACTGACCTCCTGGGATTTCTGTGGACAGAAATGGGAGAAGCGGATCGAGATCCTCTGACCTGGCACACAGACCTGCCATATCCAAGGCTACCGCTTTTTAACTGTGTTTTCAAGAACATTCTGAGAACTTGCTGGTGAATGTATTTCCATCATCCACATCTTTTAGGGAAGGGAAACATTTCTGGTTTTGAGCAGATTGGCAAAGGGGACCCCAGGGCTCAAGCCATAGTGACTGAAAATTGCTAAATGTCAAGGCTAAATGTGAAGCCCAGGATGAGGCCCTATTCATGCCCTGGGGGATTTTCTATGTTGTTTTACCATCCTATTAAATAGAACCTAAAGCAGGAGTCTCTTTGCTAGGGAAGGCTCACCCATGGGACACCCATCAGACTGCAGAACTCGCTGAAGCCGCGGTCACCTGTGGGATCTCTGCTCTCCAGCAACGACAGTCCACATTTGGACACCTGCCCCTGTCCTTGCTCCTTCTTTCTGACATTCTGTGGGAATCACTGCTATCCTCTACTCAGCAAGCCACACCCAGGGTGCACTGTACAGGCTCCCTGCTCCTTTGTCACAGCCTTCCCTGTCGATGGAAGGGACCCATCTGCATCATCTGCACTTCCCCTTCTTCTCCGGAAACAAGGCACAGGGCACCCAGAGAGAAGTGTCCTTTCTTACCCTCCAAGACCTAATGCACACTTGCAATGCTGTCCTCTCCTGTCTGAGGGTGAAGGACCACATTTCTCTCCAGGGCATTTTTACTTATTATCTGACAACCAGATCTGTTCCAGTGTGTCCCATAAGGTGTAGATGCAAGTCTTCCCAAATGTCTGTCTTCTCCCTGTCCTGTCTGTGTTGGGCCCTCACTTAAGGACAGTTGGAGCTTTAGGAGAATAAAGTGAAAGATAGAAAGAAGGTTTGGCAGAGGGAGAAGAGGATGGGGAAAAAGAGGAGGGGAGTAGAGGACAGAGAATGGGGTGGAGGAGGGAAGAAGAGCTCTTCAGCAGTCTCCATTGAACCAGGAGTGTGTTTTAAACAATGTAATCTGGAATTTCAGGCCAGAGGACAAGAGTAAAAATAGTTTTAGGTCTTGATATTTCCTCCTTCCTCCCCCAAAAATGAGTGACGTGAGTATTTAGCATGTTCAGGAATCTCTGAATGTTTAAAATTCCAATGATGAGCCCCCTGTCCCCTGAGTCCCCTGCAGCACCAATGTGGGTTGCAAGTGCAGGAGCTTCTCACCTGACATGGGCCCTGCACCTCAGGGCCTGAGCCAACACACTCTCACCAGCACTGAGCTGACGACTGAACCCCAATCCTAATTCCAAGAAGTGCTAATGGCTCTGCCTGCACATAGGAGCCACCCCCCGCCCAAATCAGTTCTGTGCTCAACAACCAAAACCTGAAAGCTAGTCCCTCGGCTCCCCAGGGCAAGGGCCAGCCAAATGAGGGCTGGAATGTAAAATATAAATGAAACACCCAGAAGACATCAATGAATCTCTTCAAACCGAGGCCATACCAAACCATATACCATATACCAAACCAAAGAGCCCAGTTAAAAGCACCATGAAAGACCCCTCCTAGAGGTCAGTGCAGTCTAAAGTGGGAATAGGTCAGGATCTTGGACTGCATATAAAATGTTGCTCAGAATCCAATCTCCTTTAGAGAGCTCTAGATTGGCCCCCTGTACTTTCCAACTGTGTGTCCTTGGATTGACCAGTAAATCTGAGCTCAAATGAAACAAGAATTAAGACCTGTTCAATTTCCATAATAAAAATAAAATATGGATGAGCAAAGAAGTATGGTTTTAACTGTAAAACTCTCAAAACCCAAATCAGCTTCCTGATAAGATAAAGGTGCAAATAACGATGGCTCTTTACCCAGGTAATTTCCCGGCTGTTTCCAGGAACAGGAAGGCCAGAAAGTCACCTTGAAGCCAAGCTTCATTATTTCTTCTCACCACTTCCAGGAAGAGGTGGAAGAGAAAGCCACTTTGAAACAGACGTTCACTGTGTTTCCAGAGGACAGAGGGACTTCCTGTGGTCAGGTGAGCCTGCCAGCTGGTGGGGCAGGAGCACTGCTGCCAGGGTGTAGAAGGCTGCCCGCTGTGGCTCCATGCTGGAGACGCTGTTGCTGGAACAACCTGAGTAAGAAACCAGGAGCTCCTGGGAAAGAGGGACCCATGGAGGAAGGAATCATGGTCTTGAGGCTTGAGGCTCCTCCTCCTCCTTGTCCTCCTCCTCCTTCTTTCTGAGTTTGAAATTTAGGGAGCTTTTAGATGGGGACTGAACTTTCCCTGCCATGGAGG